ACCCGCTGCACCACCAGGGAGGGCCCTATCCCAGTTTTTCAATGCAAAAAGTAAAAACAAATTTTAAATGCTTTTTTTTTTTAACAAGTCTGTTTCTAAGAATTTATAAGGACACTAAAGACTTCCTATACAAGAATAAAATCTGTTATTTTTTTCACATGAACCAAGATCAAATATTCCAAATAATATTGTCAAAGAGAATTTATTACCAGTACTATTTTAAAGGGCTAATACCATTAACTATCACAGGAATACAAGATCATTACGATTAGAAAATGTAAATGTCAATACGATTTACTGTCTATTTTTAAAAATCTGTTTATCTCAAAAGATACAGTAAAAGGACCTTCCTTGGTGACGCAGTGGGTTGAAATGCAGCACTGTGAAACTAGCCACAGCCACTGCAGCACGAATTTGATCCCCGGCCAGGAAGGTGACCCACATGGTGCCGCAGACCTCTCCTGACCTGCCTGCTGCTCCCCTCACTCAGCAGTGTACTTCGTCAGTCTGCCTGTTCTGCTCCCCTCTCTCTCTCTGGTCAAGTCGGGTTAGAAAGTCTTGAAGAGTGACAAGGCAATACCCACTCGCTCAGAGAGCAACTCTTGTCATTCCCCATCCCCCCAATTCATTCTTTGTCTTCATAGCACCTAATACTGTGTTTATATCTTTTTTTTTTAAAAAAAAGTTTATTTTGCAACTCTATCATTTTTATTGAGATATTGTAATGCTGGCTCAGGACAGAAAATCAGGTCAGTATGATAGGAAAGAGATCCCAGACACTGCCCGATGCATAAATGCACACCAGACACAGCAAAAGGGCCCAGCAGTTTGTTGTGGGAATGAGCTGATTTTCCGGGGGGGTGGGGGGAATAGTTTGAGCATGGGTTCCCTATAGGAAAAAGAAACAAAGTTGAATCTTATTTCACACTGCAAATAAAAAATAACAGCTCAATACACTTCCCTAGAAGATAACTATTAGCAAGAATACTGGAGAGTTTTCACACAAGGTATACACATCCATACCTCTTCTAAAATGAAGTCCATTCCTCTTATCAATATCCAGTCTTCAGTACCAAGTGTTAGGTGATTCTGAAGAGCTGATTACATTGAAAACTCCCAACTAGTGATTCCTAAAAACTTAAACTCCCTCCCCCACCTAGTAGCCATTAAGTTATGTGCAATTGAGCAATGCTGACTTTTCCCCTGGGTTGGGTTTCTTTCCACTCAAGTACAAGATACCACACTTAGTCCTGACACATGCTATAAGATTTTATCTACTGCCCATCCAATTAGACCTTTGCGAATTTGAACCCTGGTATCCCTCCCATCATTGGGAAGACTGCCGCAATACCTGAGGCAGATCACAAAGATGTGTAAACTGGACACCACCCACCCCGGCCAGCCCTGGCTCTGGCACCACATGCCCCATCTCTCCCCACGAAACAGTAGTGGCCAAGAAGCAAGGAACTTGTTCAGACTACAGTTGTTTTTTTTTAAAGATTTATTTATGGACACAGAACTGGGGTACGGCCAGAGGTGCAGGGGTAGTTGAGAGGATTCACCAGAGACAGAGCGGGAGAGGAGCATAACAGCCAGACTGGCAAAGTACACTGCTGAGGGGAGCAGCACACGAGGGACACAAGAGGTCTGTTGCACCATGTGGGTCACTTTCCTGGGCAGGACTGAACTCATGCTGAAGCAGCTGTGGCTGGCTTCTGAGTGCTGTGCTTTACCCTGCTGCACCACCAGGGAGGGTCCCAGACTACAGTTTTTATAGATAACTGAACACATGTTCAGTCTGTTTTAATGTCTTCCTCTTTTTATTGAAACAAGATTTTAGTGAATACACTTTATTCCTTCTCTCCTTTGCTCAGAATTCCCTCTAAAGACGGTGTGTTAAGGCATAAAGTGAAAGAGTGGAGAAAAAATCTTAGCTCATGCAAATGTTGCCTTATGCAATGCTGGTAATTCAAGTCTTGAGTTCACAGAAAACACTAAGTGGCAAAACTGTCACCCAGGAGCTGAGAGAACTGCAGAATTGCCCTTCGCTTGTCACAGCTTTTCAACAAGTGACACCACTTCTAGTGATAATTTGAATGGGGGTGGAGGGTATGCCTCATTTTTTACTTAGGCACCTTTGAATGCTACAACACATATAGCAATGGAGTATGTCCAGGGTTGATGTGTAGTTCCTCCATGCATGGGGGTGCCTGTCACCCCACAGGCCCTCGTGGCCCCTCCCCTCCCGGGGATCCCTACCTTTGGAGCTGCCAGCGGACTGGGCTCCTGTTGCCTTGGCTGAACCTGGTCGATTCTCAGCACCAGTCAACCTTTCAAAGGTAAAGTGTGCCTCACACACCTGAGTCTCCATGGTTGCATTGGGGAAATTATGGCCAAGTTTTTTAGCAGTGAGTGAATAGTTTTGTTCCTTTTTTTTTTTTTAAACAAGGTCTAGTGGTAAATCAGGAAGCACCCTGAAGTAACCAAAGGCAAATGCTCTTCTCCAGGGCGTGATGTTTCCTGCAGTGAGTTTGGAGGACAGTTACCATCCTCCCCCCAACAAATATATACTAATGTGGTAATATTTTAGAGCAACAGAAGCACTCTGGATTCCAGTGCTTCTCTCCTAAAATAAGAAATGTAACTACTGTAAGAGAATGTGAATCAGAGCTATGTCCAGGGTGCCATTATACTTCTAAAGACAAAACATCAAGCTTGACACAGGCCAGAGGGGAGGCAGGCTGCAGGCCACAGGTGCTTCCCCTTCTGTCAGATAAGCACAGGGTCATCACACCCCCGGTGCCACATTCCACGGTGTCCCATGGCCTTTTCCCTCTGCTGCTTTCCTTTCCTCCCAGCACTACCCTACCTGGCGGGTAAGCTCGAGGCCCAGCCTCCTCTGCACCTCACATGGAGGAGAGGCGCCCATGGCCAGGGAAAGAAGCAAGCACTTTGTTGAGAGGGAAGCAGAGGCGGCGCTAGGCTTGGGGAACTGCTGGTGTCTGGCCGACACAGGGTAAGGAAGCAGTGGGGAAGAGCGACACTTAGCCACGCTCAAAAAACACAGAGCATGCTTCCCATGCTTCCTTCGGAGGAAGCCACAGTCCAGGGAGGCGGCAAGTGTAGGGCCATCAATGTATGTGAGAAAAAGGAAATGCAGCAGCTGCCACTAAGCCTCACAACTGAGGCCAGCACTATTCTAAGCAGACGACAGAGATCACATGAATCAACAGCAACCCTTCTGATTATTCCCACTGCAGACAGGAAAACGGAGACCCGGAAATATTAACACACCTGCCAGGGCTGCATAACTAGTAATCTCTGGTACTGGATTCAAAGTCAGAGCATCTACATTCTGGACCAATGTGCCTGTACTCATGTGAAAAGGTGTGGCTCCACTGACGGATAAAAAGGGAAGGCACTCTGCTTTGTGTAGTACAACCTAACAGCTTGGCAGAGATGCACAAAAAGTAACTGCTCCAGTAAGCTAGCCATTTGGAAGCAGGGTCAGCCTCCCAGGCACACATCCTAGACCAAGGGTCCAAGTCAGGAATTCATCTAGACTGATTTGCAAGACTACAAAATAAAACAAAACAAAAAATACAGAAACCACCACAAGGTCTGATCAAAAGATTAGCTAAATGAGCCAGAAATACATCCAGTGTGGGCCTCCAGGTGCCCAGAAGAAGGGCAGGGAAGGACACTTCCTTTTCACTGTCCGGGTGTTTTAGTAACTCTGGATGTTGATACCAATTGTATATACTGACCACTCTAGCTCACACACAAACCGCAAGTGCACACACAGGCACGGACACGTCTGGAAAGGTGGGCTCCGAAGGACAAAGGCGTCGTACAGTTTGCTTCAGGCAGTATCAGTCTCTCTTTCACACACACTTCTTCCTCCAGAATTACAGGACGCAAAGCTTCTTTCCATTTTTTAGTAACTAGCCTTGGGGGGACTGGAGACCCTGGAAGGGGAAGGAGACTCCTACAGTCCCACCACCAGCACAGCTGTGAAGCGCTACGGAGCCCTTGGTCGTCTGTGCACTCCAACCAGCTTCTGCTTCTTTGAGGAACCCTCAGGGCCTGGGCCCCCGACCTCTGGCTCTCATCCTCCTCTCTGCCTCCAGTCCAGCCCATCTTCGGCCTTGCCTCTGCTGTCTCCCACCAGATTACTGACTATGATTGCAGTGAGCTGTCTTTATTTTTTTTCTTGTATGGAGATGAACTGGGGTCTAGGCCAGAGGAGTGGGAGGTGGTGGTGGTGGTAGGGATAGTAGTGAGAAAATTCACAGACACAGAGTGGGGAGCAGAACAGGCAGATTTTTTTTTTTTACTGAAATATACACTGATAGAAGCAGTAGGTGAGACATGACCGGCGAGAGGAGAGGTCTGCGTGCCATGTGGGTCAGTCAGCTCCTAGGCTGGGGATCACACCCAGGCTAGACTGGCGATAGTGCTGAGACTTAACCCCTGGGCACCAGGGAGGCCCCTGAGCTGTGACCTTTTTTACTTCTCCCATTGTAAAGAAGCTTTCAGGTCTTTGCCCTGGAGCAACAACAAGCCAAAGGGAAAACCACGGAACTACATAGGAGAGGCTGCCTTTTTCTTCAGCTGAAAGGGTGAGGACTAGACCTAGAAGACTATTTTGAAACAGAGGAAAAGAAGTTGGGAATGTTAAACTATTTCATAAATCAAATGCTAAATAAAACATAACCAAATACTCAAAAGAGCCCTGTGTTAAGGCAAGGGAAGGGACAAACCAGAAGTAAAAAAGGAATCAAGAAAAGAGGCTAGTGTCTAGAGGGACGAGCCAAAGTGGGGAAGGACGCCATGAGGAAACAAAGGCCGGGGAATAACAACAGCCAAAAAAAGCAAAAAGCTAAGAGGGCTTGGCTCCGGCTGTGTCACGGACTCGGAGACCAAACTGTTGCCTCATCTGCAAAATGGGGCTGACATGTGATTCTCAAGGGAGCCCAGGGAATACCTCAGCGCAATACCTGCAGCCTCTTGCTCTGGGAATCCGGGTCCTGAGGCTCTGCCAGTGTCAGAGGGGGGCCCTTTCTGGGGTGTGAGCAGCAGTGGGTCGGCTCCGGCGTTTCCATTTCACTGTAAGCAGACAATCCTCAGCAGTGCTCGGTGCCCATCACGGGAGGAATGGCAATGTCTTTCCTTTAGACCCCTGAACTGCCCACCCCAGAAGCTACCCTCCCAGACCCTGGTATTACAACTTGCTCCAACTCCCCTCAAATCTCATATCAAAAGTCCCACTTCCAAGCAGATGGGACTATGTTTCTAAAAAAATTAAATCAAATGAAACCTGAAAAAGAGCATCAGGTTGTGGTATGAAAGCTGAAGGAATTCTATTACTTCTTTGAATTCTAAATTATTTTCCATTTAACAGTCTTTCAGGGTGGAAAAAAAAATACAGTAAAATGAGATGGCAGCAGCTAGACCCTCCCTGGTGGTGCAATGGGTTAAAACGAGGCACTATGAAGTTGTCCACAGCCACAGCAGCACGAGTTTGATCCCCAGCCAGGGAGGTGACCCACATGGCACAGCAGA